GCTCTCATTCAGAGAATTTGATACAGGTGGTCCTCAGCTTATGACCACAATTGAGCCCAAACTTTCCATTGCTAAGTAAGACATTTGTTAAGTGAGTTTTGCCCCATTTAACATCCTTTCTTGCCACAGTTGTTAAGTAAATCACTGTAGTTGTTAAATTAGTAACACGGTTGTTAAGTGAATCGGGCTTCCCCATTGACTTTGTTTGTCAGAAAGTCACAAAAAGTGATCACATGACCCTAAGACACTGCAACCGTCATAACCATGAGTCAGTTGCCAGGTGTTCAACTTTTGATCATGTAATCGTGGGGTTGCTGCAGTGGTTGTAAATGTGAAAAATGGTCCTGTCATTTTTTTCACTGCTATTGTAACTATGAATGGTCACTAAACAAATGGTGGTAAGTCGAGGACTATCTGTAACGCTCACAATGTTTTAGAACTAAAACAGGCTTAAAATTTAGTGCGTGGAACTTGAGAAAATTTAGTGTGCATGGAACTTTAGTGTGCATGGAACTTTAGTGTGCATGGACTTGGGTGAGGAGGAAGGGACTACATACCCAATTCAGCATACTTCAAGACAAAGTACATAGGCATTTCAATAGCAATAAAACTTAGACTTATATACTGCTTCACAGTGCTTTACAACCCTCTCTAAGTGGTTTCCAGAGTCAGCATATAGCTCCCAACCATCTGGGTCCTCTTTTTACCGACTTGGGAAAGATGGAAGGTTGAGTCAACTTTGAGACGGTCAGGATCGAACTACTGGCGGTCGGCAGAATTAGCCTGCAATACTCCATTCCAACCACTATGCCACCACAGAATAACGACATCATCATGTGTTGCCCTTTTGCTGTTATAAGAGTTTGCTGTGGAGACCACTGGAAAGGAGGGGAAACTCAAATTGTGGGGGGGGGGGGGCAGGAAGTTTCTGCATTTCAAAGAATGTGTGGTTTTTGCTTCTAGCCAAAGAGTGAAAACAAGAAGGGCAAATTATATACGAATTTGAAACTCTAAAGTGGTCCTGCTGTTTCTGGAAGTGGATTAAATGGCGAAAAAAGTAATGTTCAGAATGATGATCTCTTCTTCGGTTGGCAGCTCCAGACCAAGATATTTTAGTTTGGCATTTTAAGCACATTAGGCTGCAATGTAAGTTAAAATAAAATCTCCCAAGGGTCATGGGTTAATTCAGAGCTGCCGTCCCCACCCAAGGTTAGATTACCCCAGTTAAAGTGGGAACATCCACTGTATCTCTTCCAAATGGTTTGCTAATTACAAGGAGACAGTAGCAAATCATTATGGAATAGTATGCCTTTTGTCCCACACCTGAACGATTCATTCATTGCTTTTCTGTCTGGCAGAGCAATGGGATTTTAATTTTATCTTGCATCAAGTAGGAAAAAAAATTTGATGGTTGAATAAGCTACTTGGATGGAAGTGACAGAAATACTGTCCTATCCTTCTCCTTCAACTCCAGAATTGGGAGTAACAATGATATACATGTATGTACATATATACACACAAGGGCAAAGACTGGACTTTTAACTCAGCTGAATCCAGTTGTTTGATTTGCAGAGAATATATGATGTGTTACTTGTGTGCATCACTACAGTTAGTGTGGAAGTGGGGACTAAGGAGGAGTAGATCTAGGTTTCAAGGTCCATAGATGTTTCTGTATTAAGAATATTGGATTATTTCTCTTAGGGGAAGAAAAGGGAAGGAAAACATTAAGCACTTTGTCAAGTTGTTTGGCACACTCTGGAAGTGAACTCAACCTCATTAGTGTCTCACTCATTAATGTGTGCATTGGAATGCCTACAAATTTTGTGTATTTCCAAATTTTTATGAGACTCTCTGATCAAGATGCCCGGCCAAATGATATCCAGGAGGCGACACACATCATTTAAATGATAATTTTCATACAACTTATTTTTAAAAGTTCTAAAAAGACTGCAGGGAGTGGACTTACGTTTGAATGCTCAGAAAATTAATATTGACTAGAACTGACCAGATATATCTGTACCTAAATAAAACATGCTGAGAATCCCTATTGCAAAACGTCCATCATTTGCTTTTAAGGAATAGTTTTTAAAAGTGGGTTGGATAGCAGGGGAAATTATTCTAAAATAATTTTTATGCCAAGCAGATATATAAAATTGGTGGATAGGTATATTTGTACTATGCTGTTAGACAAGTAATTCTGATCTTTGGGATGAATCACACTTGATGGTAAACAAAATGGCGGATTCAGATGTGCACTCATCTCCTAGTTCAGAAGTGACCAGTATTGCCATTATGGGCTGATTTAACCAGGTTTACACCAGAGTTGGCCTTGGCCCTTCCATTTTCCTCCTGTTTAGGCCTTAAGCCGGCAAACTTCCCTGCAGATTCAGTCATCACTTTTCATTGCTCTTGTCTCTCTCTTAATGAGTATCCCAGCATGTACTCCCTCTACTTGTGAACAGCGCTGTCTCTTATTACTCCTCTCCACCTGCTTAATCAGGATGACTACATGGCCTTTGTTCATACAGAAGGGTTGTAGGACTGAGATTTATGGTTCCTTGAGGCTTCCTTCCTCAGGGAGGACTTGGTGGTGGCCCAGCAAACATAGACTGATTTTGTTCCATCACATAAAGGAAACCAAGGGACGGGGGGGGGGTGGGCATTTGTCCAAGGTTTTGCATAACTTTGCTGGGGAGCTGTCCCTCATCATTCTGCCCTGTTGTCTCTCTCCTCACCCTCTGTCAGGAAAAGACGGGTGACAGCCGGCATGTTTTTCCTCCCCTGGGTGAAGTATTAGGAACCAACGGTCTCCTTAATCTCCCAGAGGAGGCAGGGCAAGAACTGATAGCAGGAAGATGGGAGTGCATTCAAATTGGCTCAGGTTATCATTTCGGGACATTACTCCCTCCCAGCCATTAAGCATTGAGGACAATGACATAGAACAGTGATTCTCAACCTTTCTAATGCTGTGACCCCATAATACAGTTCCCCATGTTGTGGTGACCCCCAAGTGGATGTGGCCACCAGTAAGAGGGAGTAGGACAGCTAGGGAAAAGGGAAAAAAATGGCGGACAGCATGGTTTGGTGACCCCCGTGAAATGGTCATTCGACCCCAAATGGGGTCCCGACCCACAGGTTGAGAACCACTGACATAGAATGACAAGTATTAGGTGTCCCACTCTCTACAAACTTTGCCAGATCAAGGCTGAGCTGAACTGAGCATTCGATACATAGTTTTGGCTGTGGTCTCAGGAAAGTTCTTGGAAATAGACATCTGTGCCTCCAGGCTTGAACCACATTCTATTTCTCGTAGGTTTCGATCATGAGTGCTTTGAGAGGTACAGTTTGTCTCAGGGAGTCTCTCCCTGTACCATCATTCAGGACATGCTGTATCTCCCTCACTGCTGTTTTCAGTTTTCCCTTCAGCTGGAGGCAAGTTCCGGTAAAAAAATACAAAGCAGTATTGCAGTCTCAGCTTTACCTACCCTTACCTGTGAGCCCGTGGTTCCGACTTGTGTTTTTGAAAGTATAAATTCCCCTTCATGAATCATCCCACCAGACTTTCCACTTGGAAGGATTCACCTGTCCATGTGTGGCCAGCAAAAGCTGCTGCTGTTGTGGTGGCAGCATGCCTGCAAATCAAATAATTCTGCTGTTGGGCAAAGGAATACCATTCATCCATCATGGGATGTCAGCCAGCTGTTGTGTTGGCAAAAAAAAAAAAAAAAGAGGGGGAAAAGAGGTGACAGATTCTATGAAACAAACTGGGTTGGAATGCAAATGAAAGAGGCAAGAGGAGTTGGAAAAACAGAAGATGTCTCTGAAATTGCAGAAAGCCAGCGTACTATAAGGATTGATTGCAGCAGATCTAAGCTGCTAGGCTTAGCCTGCCTGCTGGTTCATTTAGCTTAGACTCCAGAATTGTGACAGAATTGGGTGCTTCTGAGAAATGATTATGAGAAACAGAAGCTGTTTACCATTAGTTGCTTTTCCCAGTGTCCTACACATTGGTATCCATCTAGGCTGATGGCCACTCACATATGATGGTATTCTGTTATTCTTTTCAGTTTAACTGCTGTACTGTGGTGGGTATTATGAAAGATACTCAACAGCCTTAAGCATATTTGTATTTTATTTAATGGAGTTCAAATTAAACATGGCTTCTCGTGGACCTTATTTATCACTTTGGCAGCACTTCTCTGATGTTTTGGCAGCACTTCTCTGATGGTCCAAAAGCACGTAGTGTGGATAAATATATGCACCCTTTTTTTGTTGTGAAGTTTGATCCAGTTTTTGGAGTTTGTGGAGTTTTGGAATCTTTGCTGCCAAGCTTCAGAGTCAGTATCCTCTGACAGTATATTCTTTTTTCTAATCCCCCCCCCCTTCCAGATCTATGGACTGGTTGAAAAGTGTCAAAGTTGGACCACAACATACCTGGGGAGCATTAGTTTGGGAAGATTAGTCTGGAGTGATTGAGAGCAATGCAACCTCCCATTGAGATACTAATATAATATGGCACAAACTTTAAATCAGACTTCCCAAATTTGATGTCTTTCAAGTGTTTAGACTGAAGCTCCTATAATTCTCATTCCACATATTTGTCAGCCACAAGGTTATGGATTATGGGAGATTTTATTCTATGAATTTTGAAAGCGCCATGATGGAGGCAGCTCTTCCATAGATTTCTGTATGACTTGCACTCAGCATGATTCAGATAGGGTGTATCATATGGATAACTGAAGAATCACATAGTACGTATGATCTAATGCAGGGGTTCCCAACCAGGGGTGCTTGCACCCCCTGGGGATGTGAGGCGATATTCCAGGGGGTGCAAAAACTTGGGTTTTCAAAATTATAGTGTATATGCATAATTCATTGCCCTTATTTTAAACTTTTGCAAGGGGTGCGAGAATATATCAGAAGTGTTCTAGGGGTGCGGGGAATAGAAAAGGTTGGGAGCCGCTGATTTAATATAACCTCCTTTGTTTACTCTTTGATAGGTTGTATGTGCCGAGGGCCATGTAACCAAGACCCTGAACTATCTTGAAATGAGTCCTTCGAGTGTCTTGAAGACTGGACCATATGGTAGCTCTTTCAAACCCCACCCACTCAGCCCTGGCCGGATATTTTCCAATGAGCCATCCAAAGCCAAGCTGGACCCTTTTGGTGGTGCACTAAGTCCATGGGACTGGACCAAGAATCAGACAGCCATGGAGCACTTCAATCAGCGAGCCAAAAGGAAGCCCTCAATGAAGGCAGGTCGTACCAAGAAAATCTTTGGATGGGGGGACTTTTATTTCAACATCAAGACCTTGAAGTTTAGCCTCCTTGTGACAGGCAAGATTGTGGATCACATTAATGGTACCTTCAGTGTCTATTTCCGACACAACTCCTCCAGCCTGGGCAATGTTTCAGTAAGCATTGTGCCACCCACCAAAGTTGTAGAATTTGATGTCTTGGTTCCTCCTATCCCCACCCAACATCTCCATCCCCAGCAGTCCACTTTAGCTGAGCCGAAGGAATCTAAGACCTTCAATTGTCATGTGGAGTATGAGAAGACCAACCGGGCACGCAAGAATAAGCCCTGCCTGTACGATCCATCCAAGATCTGTTTCACTGAGCATACACAGAGCCATGCAGCCTGGCTCTGTGCTAAACCGTTCAAGGTCATCTGCATCTTCATCTCATTCTTCAGCATTGATTACAAGCTGGTTCAGAAAGTCTGTCCAGACTATAACTTCCAGAACGAGAATCCTTACTTTGGCTGATGAGTGGACTGGGCCTTGGAGGGATGGGGATGTGGGGATGAAATAAGTTGTGATTTTTATCCAGCAGAGAGTGAGAACTTTGGATGACTGGGAAAGAAAAATATGAACTCCCAACCATGCTTGATAGGACAAGAACAGCTGGTTTGGTTTAGGAACTGGATGTTGTTCCATCAGACACTCCACTTCCAGTAGCCAGTGAATTTTCCCAGGACGTTAGGAAGATGAAGAGTGGCCAGAGGGACAATATTGTTTTCACAACTCATTCTTCCCCTTTCTGATGCCATTTGTGAGCATCTCGTGGGGATTCCCTGCAAGATAAAGAAATAGCTTGCCGTGGCTGTATCTCTTTTGTGCATACATAATCCCTGCTGCTTTGGTGGGGTTCTTACACTGACTACATGTTCACATCCCTAAGGATCATACCTCCCAGATGGAATGTGAAGGTTCAAGTAGCAGTGACAGATATCTCTCTTCCTCAGGCTATATCATACATCATCCAGCTGGAATTCTCGTAGGCCTAACTGAGGGTGGGGGAATAGAATATTAACCAAGTGCACTAATTCAAGTCTCATCGGATAACTTAGAAGAGCAAATGTCAGCAGGGTTGAGGGACACTTGTCTAAGGTGGGAAATTCAGCTGCCTGAACTTTCCTGTTCCAATAAGGAGAGATGAAAGGGGGAGGTAGCATCGTATAAAATCTAGGAATATGTGGCAAGTGGAATTAAAGTAAAGAGGGTACTTGGGATGTGAGTGAGATCATGGCATATGGCACATGCCTGAGCAAAGCAGGAGAAATGGGAAGTTGTAAGATAGTATGTTGACAGGACAGTATTGATTGTGTGTGTGTGTGTGTGTGTGTGTGTGTGTGTGTGAGAGAGAGAGAGAGAGAGAGAGAGAGAGAGAGAGAGAGAGAGAGAGTAGAATCATGACATCCAAGCCATGTGTAAGACAGTGATTGAAATTAATCAAAAATATGTATGTGTGTGCAAAATCTAAAGCGTGTATGTATAGAAACTTGTATCCCATTAGGCACCTACTTGTCACCTTAGTGACATGTACCCACAAGATCATTTAGTATATGTAGGGAGAAACATACACTGTATATATGTTAAGTGTGCATGTGCATGTGAGATGAATTAGATCTGCAGATTTGCAGTGATTGATTTCAGCAGATCACTTAACTAGATCTTTCATCACAGATTCAAAGTTGATTGGCAGGCCCAAGATTGAAAGGCACCCCATGAGGTAATCGAGACAAGTGTAGCAAGTCTTTTCTTGCACTGGATTGGTTTTCTCTCCAGTTTTCCTCCTAAATCAACTGACTTTGGATTTAATTTAACAGAATAACAAGAATTGGAAAAAACCTTGGAGGTCTTCTAGTCCAACCCACTGCTCAGGCAGAAAACCCTATAACATTTCAGCCAAATGGCTGTCCAATCTCGTCTTAAAAACTTGCAGTGTTGGAGCACCCACAACGTCCGGAGGCAAGTCGTTCCATTGTGGTACAATTGGGTTTTCCTTATGACAGGCAGAGTCCAGTCCAGATAGGATTGGGAGTGCTTACCTTTAAGTGACAGTGTCTTTTAAATGTAAATTCTCCACTACATATGAGATTAGAGCTTGTTCAGATTCAAAGGCATTTTGGCTCTGGTGTGCTGCTATAGTTAGAGATGCTCTGTGTTGGGGAGGCAATAAAGAGGCTTTTCAGAGCAACAAATAGTTATATTTGCTTATTAAATTGCAACTATCCTCTTGTTTAATAGCGATCCAGGACATCCCTTCAGCAATTTTCAATAGGTACAAAGAATATTTTTTTGCAATTGGAGCAATGTTTCAGTCAGCAATTCCCAAGATGAAGGTTGGGTACTGAATACATCATTGGTACCAATGTTCTTGATTCCAGTTTTCACTTGATCTTAAGGGATGGAAAAGCTATTTTCATACAACATACTCAACAGGATTGGGTGGTTATGTTATATAAAGCAGTTCATTGGATTAAGCCAGAATATGATCTATTTTGTTTAGACATACCATATTCTGTAAACGTGCAGATTAACCTTCATTAATTTAGGTTTAGTTTATAATGTAAGCCTTACCAGAAAAAGATTGCTCTCTCCAACTCTGACAAAAAAGACCAACCCCCCCCCCACAAAACCCCCATTAGTCCCCTTTTATTTCTTCCCTTACTCAACACACGATCGGAAGAGTTATTCTAAAAGCAACTTATTATGTTTCTGCTCTGCCACTTTGTGGCATAGAATGGTTTGGAGGCTTTAAAAGAATATAGGAGATACTTTGTTTGGATTGCCTGTTAATTTGGGCAGCAGGATGACTAGGTTATATTCTGGCTCTTTGATGTTGAATTTTCATTATATTTCTTACTGCTTGTCAGCTGCTCTTCTTGCAAAGATTACAAAAATCAATTCTGGAGGTGTGTAAATCAATAGAGGAAGGATAAGTTTGTGTTTTGAGAACATTATCTTCTGCTATACTAAAAAAAAAATACCACTATTTTTTTTAAAGAACAAATATGGAATATCACATGTTTTCTGAATTGCTTTACTTTGGGGAAAGTAGGTAAGAAATCACATGCTTGAAATACTTCCGTTCCTACATCAAACATTTCTTGCCTTTATAAATCTAGCACATCAAAGAGAAGAGACATACTCAAGCCTTTTACTTACATCTAATCTGAACGCAGAACTTGGATTGATTCATTTAATTTTGCTGAAGTAGAATAATATCCAAACATTTAATTATTTCCCCAGATTCCAAAATAAGCGCAGTCCCAGGACTACATGATATCCCTACAGTTCAGCTACAGGGGATAAAACACTAGAAATTGTTTGCTGTTCAAATGTCCAGATCAAATCTAGGAACCCAATCTGACTTCTTGGAGAATGACTTGAGTTTTAACTTGCACCTTTAGTGAAGACAGTTTTGGCCTAGAAAAATTTACTTTTCCTTCACCTAAATATATTTACTTCCACAAGTGAAGAATATGTGATAACAATACTGGTTAGGCAAGTTCTATCATGTCATGTTCAGAAATGAGGGATTGCAAACTCATATTAATGGCAGGTATCTAATCTGAAGATACTATGACTTCCCATTTAGGGCTGATATCTCGGGAAGCTCTGTGGGAAATGTTTACACATAAAGAAAAAATGCAAAGAAAATGCACAATATAAGAAATCATGAATCAAATGTTTATCCCAGCTTCTGCCTGACCAATGGTGAATCATCACACCCACATTGGTTTTAGTCTACAAACTAGACTTCTACTAACTACATCAAAGTTAAAACAAAATTGCAGACAGCCAAAATTCTGTGAGAGCTTGTCTCTCGGCTATTATATTTGGTGCGTCATACACACACCCACGAAAGGCAGCTACCTTTATCTAAGAATCATGCAGGTGGTTGTGTCCATCACTGACTGTGCAATAGCTTTTGACATTGAACAAGTGAGATTAGGCAATTTTATGGATGAATCTGCCTAATTCCACCTAGATTTTCTAGTCATTTTATATAAAGGACACAATTTCCTTTTACTGCATTTGAATTCCAAATGAAAGCATAGTTCATTCACTGAATGTATTCCACAAATGCACACGTATTGTTTAGATTTCAGACTTTATGGGAGCCATCACAAATCATTCAAAATAGTCCTGTTACTTTTATTTCTCAAAGTTGTATGCCGCCCATCTCGCCAAAGGCGACTTTAGGCGGCTTACAGACATGGAATAAAATGTACTATAAAACAGAGGTCCTCAACATTTTGGGCACCAGGGACCGGTTCCATGGAGAGAGGTTTTTCTGTGGACTGGAGGGAGTCTGGTTTTGTGTGCTGCCTGCATCTCACGGATGGGGCTTTGCTTGTTTGTGTGGACCGGTTACTGGCATGCTGCAGCCTGGTACTGGTCCACGGACCAGAAGTTGGGGACTTCTGTTATAAAACATTAAAACAATAAATCATAAATTTAAAATTAAGTGAAAATAACCCTGTTATGTTAGGCAATCCATGACATTGAGTACTAAGAAACTATGATGGCTCTCCAATGCAGATTGGAGCTAAACCAGTGTTTCTCAACCTTGACAATTTTAAGGCATGTGGACTTCAACTCCCAGAATTCCACAGCCAGCATTGCTAACACTGAGCTAAGCAGTCACCAGGGGGAGCAGGCAAGATTGGTATCGGTTCTAAAGGGCCCTGATAAGGCTCTTGAGTCCAAAATATTCTCAGTTACGCTGAATGCTGGTGGCAGACCAAGGATATGGGCTCATCCTAGCAGTGATCCATTCAAAAAAAGACAAGAATTGAATCTAGGACTGCACAAATGCCACATACACATCTCTCCTGTTGGGCTATGGCACAAACAGTGACTCCTAACACGGTTTTCACCTTGAAAGAACCATAAGTCCTTAGTTGGCAAGGTAGCCAAACTTGGAAAGAGGCCAACAGTTACTAATACAGCTTACATCACTGGCCTACCAATAAATCAAATATACTTGCAAACACTTTGTTCCTTTTTTAAATCCCGCTTTCAGGAAGGAAACAAGGCTGAGAAAAGAGCTCTACTGACAATTGGGCAAATCGGAACTGCGGCAGTGCAATATTATCTGTGCACTGGGACAGATACAGAAACAACCCTTTCCTTGGTTGGCCTGTTCCATTCTTGCCTTATTTCTACATCTGGTCTCTTGTCTGCTGCTGCTGATGGCATAAGAAGCATCATTACATAAGCTTTTGCTCTTGAGCTCCGGTTACATTGCCTTTAACATCCATTTCATGCATCAGATCATACTGAGCATCGTATGGTGCACTGTGAGTCTAAATCCTCTTAAGTGATTATTCCAATTGCATCTGTCTAGTTGCTACAACACTCGTTTGTGAGACTATTGTGTGTGTTGATGGGTATACACGGGCAAGGATGCATGTATGCATCTACTTGTGTATGAGCAAGTTTAGTTAGGGCTAATTATTGGATAAGGTACACCAGGAAATGTTCAGGATGCATACATGCCTCAGACAAACTATCGGGTTGTGACAGACTTGGCACCCTCTTGGGGAAGTTGCAAGAGGCATGTATATGAATAAAGAATATGGGTCCTTTTGCTGGAAGGACAAGTCAAGAATTGGATATAGAAATGAGCCACAACCACTTCTGCCTGGAATTAGCAGGAATTCTGTGCCTATAAATGAGGTCAGATTATGAGGAAGCAAGAGTGAACTGTCATTGACTCTTATGGATACTCTTCCCATTCCATCTTTTGGGACTGTCAATCATTTTCCGCTGTCATTATATCTATAGAGTGTCTGCAGTCTGCAAAGGAGCTGGAAGCTGCTGAACTGGGAAAGCTGGCAGGGGCTGAGTCTGGACTTTATCAAGGATGGTCGCACCCTCTGCAAAGTATCTCCCATTCCCTTGCCTTGATTGTGCCCTTTGCCTGGATGGGGACTTCCTCATATTTTTATATATTTAAGTTAAATAAAAGAGAATAAATGGAAGCCACGGTGTACTGTTTTTATGGGCATACAATAGAGAAGCAAGCATACAGCTAAGCTGGAGATGGGAAGCTACCCTCACATCAATTGAGACATGAGTCCATCAAGGTCAAGATGAGTTGACCTTGAGTTGAGACAATGAATCCATCAAGGATCCAGGACCTTCTGTGGACAAAGGCATATGCTTTGTCCCTGAATTCTTTGCCCATTAGTAAAGCGTACATTTCAGGAATTAACCTACTGTACTGTACTGCCTCAGGCAGGAAT